AATTATAAGAAAAACATTTGCCTTCCCGAAAGAAATTCTTGAACTCTGGGCCCAAAATTTGAATCCATGTTGCTCCATATTTTCTCTCTCCAAAATCCCTCCTTTGGTATCCCCAGTGTCTACCCACCGTCTGTGTCTCTCTGGCTAACAAATTGATATATTGTTTTGTTTCTCCACCATAAAAACCCTATCAAAACCCTAATCTCAAGTTCCCAAGTATTGATAGCCACCACCACCAACCCAAGAAATGGCCAAAAAGAAAATGACCCATCAACACAACCATGGAAACCCAACTCAGGAGAGGCAAGAAATTGACCAAGAACAGAGCTTTACACAAGCCAAACCCTTAGACCATCAGGCCTCCATGGAAGATCCAGTGGAGAAGCTGCAGAATCTGAAATCTCTCAACTCTTTGCTTCTCAAAGAGACATTTGAGCGCAGGCAGCAGGTTGATTCTCTGGTTCAGGCGAAGGAGGCACTTGAGTCTGAGTTGGCTCGGGTTGGTGATGAAAGGAAGGTGCTTGAGGCGGAGTTGAGTGAGGGGAGTGAGAAGAATCTGCGGTTGGAGCTGGAAAAATTTTTGCTTTGTGTTTATGTGGAGACCCAGATGTTGGACATGAGGGTTAGTGTCGATTGGTTGGTGAAGGAGAAGACTGAGAGAGAGAATGAGGTTGTGTTCTTGACGCGTGAAGTGAAGGGGCTAATGGGTAGTCTTGAAAAGGAGAGAGTGAGATTGAGCCAAGTTTGTCAGGAGAGAGACTTGGCAAAGAGTGATCTTGATGTTCAGATTAAGGAGGCAAAGAGATTAAAAGAAAGGATTGTTGCAATTGAGAAAAGAGAGAAAGAGGTCGGAGAGGAGATGAAGAAGCTGGAGGGTGAATATGAAATGTTAGTGAAGGAAAAAGAACGGCAAGAAAAAAGAATTAAGGAGGTCGTGAAGGATAGAGATTTGGTGGGAGAGAATTTGAAATATGCGGTGAATGAAGTTGGGGGCTTAAAGAGAAAGATTGAGGTGATTGTGGAGGAAAAGAAAGAGATTGAGAATGAGAAAAGCATGCAGAAAGTTAAGATTGATAAATTAGAGAAGGAGATGGAGAAGCAGAAAGGGATTGTAATGGGTTTGAGGAAGGAGGAGGATGGGTTGCGCACCAAGGTTTTGGAGTTGGAAAATAGTTATGGTGAGGCAGTGCAGAGGGAGGCAGAGAGGGCAACAGAGATTAGTACTCTTGTGCAAGAGAAGGGGGAGATGGAAAAAACTATAGAGAAGTTAATGGATGAAAAGGATTCTGCTTCACGAACATTGGAGATGCTAATGGTGGAATCAGCTGATAAGCAGAGGAAAGTGGAGAGGTTGATGGAGGAAAATGATGAATCTAGAAAAGCTCTGGAGATAGATGAGAAACAAATAAAGGAAGGGGAGCAAAAGATTATGCAGTTACTTGGAGAGAAAAATGAGGTTGAGAGGGTGAAAGTTAGTTTTGAGAGTGAAAATGTTGAGTTGAAAAAAGAATTGAGTCAGCTAAAGGATGTTGTGTCTAGGCTGGAAAAGTCATGCGGGGATATTGAAGAGAGGAACAAAGTCTTGTCGTCTGAAATCCATCATTGTACAGATGCATTTGATCGTGTAGCACTCGAGAAAGATGATGCTTCAAAAAGATTGGCTGAGGAGAAAGAAAATGGAGTGAAACTGAAGTCAGAAATCTCAGAAATGGAGATGAAGATTGAGAAAATTGCAGGGGAGTTTGGACAGATTGTGAATGAGAAGGAGAAACTAATTAAGGAAAAGAAGGAGATGGAGAGTCAACTGAAATTGTTGAGCACTGAGAAAGATGGGTTTCAGAAAGATCTTTTGGAGGCAAAGAAAAGAATAGATGATTTGAAGGCTAAAATGGAATCAACCAGGATCAATTATGAGAGATCATTGAGTGTGCTGAAGAGCACTACATTTCTGGTTTGCCAATCTCCAAATTACAACAACTGGGATGCTAACGAAGAAGTGGCAGCTTCTGAACAGAAACTTGAAGATGAAATTGAACCATATTCAGCTCAGTTAGAAGCAATCAAAAAGGCATTCAGGGACAAAGAGACAATGGTTGAAGACATGAAGCGTGAAGTTGAGTTTATGAAAATCTCCGTGGCAAAGGCAGAAAAAAGGAGGAGTTTTTGGACTGTGGTGTCCTCGGCAACAACCATTTTTGCTGCAGCATTTGTTGCATATGCTGTAAAATTGCGTTGAGTGGTTGGTTTATGAATCAATTTTTGTTACCAGGAAAGATGCTCATGCTTCTAGGACTAACTGACAAATTTCTGTTTATGGAGTCTCTCCTTGGGTCCTTTCAGATTTCCTTCTAGACTCACATAAGATGTTTTCCCTTTTTTTCATGCTCAAATAAACTTGGATCAGGTTCTAGTTTTTATCTTTCATATGGTTTCAATAATATTTACCCATTTTGCTGATGTGCAGTGTCTGATCATACAACTGAAATCTTCAAAAGTTTGTTAATTTGCATCTTCATGCTACCTCGGAATCTTGTGCTCATATCCTTGCTGAAAGATGTCAAAGTAGCATTTAGACACAGGAAGATGCAGCTAATTATTGTTAATATTTTTTCTTTTTGGGACTACAGAAGTTTACGTTTGCTTGGTATGATAAATATAGGAAACACTTACCTAAGAACACCCTTAGAAGGTAGTCTGTGAAATGCATAAACCATTGTTGCTATGTGATCTGATTTCTTGTGTTCTATTCTGCCTTCACTTATAGTGTGTAATAATTTGATTGAACATCCTGCATTACGAATTGTGATATTAACATTTTTTTAAGCTAATGCTAATCCTGCCTTCATAATTCGATACTTTTTCCTAATGTTATATTTTCAGTCAATCATGTGATCCGCTTTAATGCATCCAAATGGCAACAACTAATATACATCATGGCTTTCCCTTTTGTGCACAAGCCAATTTCTGTATTTTTCTTTGCTGCCCCAGAACTCTAGATTACTACTCATCATGAAGGACCATTTAAGGAAATGACAAGAAAGAGGGCATCAAATCAATCTTTATGTAGGGCAAAAGAATTAGACTACCAGAATTTGGATCCAATCGTTTTATCAATGTGTCTGGAACACACTTTTGCCAATGAGACTCATGGACCAAATTGCTACACGTTTTGATTCCTCATTCAGTTGTCTTCACAATATCTTCTTGAAGAGATTTTTGGCAAATTTTATGTTTTTTAGGTGTACATGCTAATTATCATCAGTCATTTCAAATTAGTTTTTTTTTTTTTTTTTTTTCCCATTGATAATTAGTCTCCAGTTTCATAGATTTCCATTAAAGAGACTCGGTACGCCAAAAGGTGGAGGCAATACAGCATACAAATAGAGGTCTGGAAATGATGGATTCAGATGACGCAATGAAATTGCGTCATCATCAGAAGCCATAAATTAGCATTGAGTACCAGGAATATTGCTAATATGTGATAAACATAATCAGGAACTCAGAAAATCATAATCTCTAAA